AACAGAGCCCTTTTCCTCCTGACTTTATTCTTAATTTCCTTAGTAAACCACCTTGGTTGTCGTTTCCTAGATTTAGTTTTGCTGGAAACAGGTATGAAGTCCTCCTACACTTGCAACAATGTGCTTTTGAAAAATTCCCATGCCTCTTCAACTGTGTTGGTGCTTTATTTACATTTTAAAATGTCCGCTCTCATTATCTTGTTTTATACAATGTAACTTTATTCCTAACTGTCCTCTAAATGTCAATAAATTACCGTCTAATCTCACCTTTAATAAATAATATGTAAATAATATAATCAAGTATAAAACCCAGAAACATGCATAATACATCCATCTTCTAATCCAGTGTTTCCCAACCCAGTCCTCGGGGAACCCTGGACAGTCCATGTTTTTGCTCCCTCTCAGCTCCCAGCACACCTGTACCAAGTATTCGGTGTTCCTGATTGGCTGGGAGCTGGGAGGGAGAAAAACATGTACTGTCTGTTGTTCCCCGAGGATTGGGTTGGGAAACACTGTTCTAACCATTTATTTTGTTCAGGGCCATAGATGGTACCTGGGCCTGTTCCAGGAAGCTCATGGTACACAGCTGGCACACACCCTTGATGGGTACCAGTCCGTCCCAGGGCACACATATCATACTCTATGGGCATCTTATAGATGCTAATTAGCCTAAATGCATGTCTTTGGACTGCAGGAGGAAACCAGATTAGCTGGATGAAATCTGCCCCACACAAGGTGACATGCAAAGTCCATATACCTAGTGCAGGAAGACGGTTTGAAACTCCAGCTCTCAAGATCTGAGTCAACAGTGCTATCAGTGGACCCCCCATGGCACCCCCAATGCAAAGAAAGTGAAAGCTGGTGGGTTTTATGAAGTCTTATAAATCTCTGTGCTGAACTGCCTGAAGAATGTAAAAATACACATCTACCAGCAGAGGTCAGTAGTGCGCAACATGGTAATGAGAGCGTTACACCCTGTGAAATCACAATGATGAAACGAAAGTAAAACCAAATGTCACTGCTAGGACCCAGGTCATCAGAGCCAAAAATATACACATTATTATAAACTTACCCAATGCATTTCACAGCAGAGGCCAGTTTTCCATTGCCCATTCTAAGGGACAAGAGAAAATAAGTATTCCTCATTTTAATAACACAGTTCACAAACTAACACAGCTCAGTACAAAGGACATGTAACCCTAACACAGTTATGAGCAGATATAATCCCATCATGGTTTAGTACAGATGCCTGTAAGTCTGTAAGCTTTACAGATAGTATTCAAACTAACACTCAGGACAAATGTTATGCAATCACTGACACATGTGACACTTTTGACAAACATTCCCTTTTACCTTGGCATTAGTGTGTCTGAACAAAGCTTTCCTTGTGCATATCTTGTCCCCAGTGTGATGTTTACAGTAGTTCCATTCACCCTGTGGAAATAGAAACTTTTCATTAGGGGGATCTACAGCTATGCACATGGCAAGGATGCACCCAGTGCGACCAGTTGTATGGAAGCACTGGAGCTTCTTCTGTCTTTGATGCTATATAGAGTGCTTAAATATTAATACATTTTCTATAGTTGCTAACTGGCTGCAGAGCTGCTTGGCCTTTTTAAAGAAGAAAAAGGAAACTGCAATATTTTCAGCAATATTTCTGTGGTGAAAAGGGGGCAATGCATGCTATAGGTTCTTAAGTAAACCTCACCTGATTTGCTGTATGTTGGAGGTGAGGTCAAGACAAAAGGAAATGAGGCTGACAGCTGCTTGCCCCATGACCCACGGCTCCTCCACCCTGCCCAGGGGAAATGTGGAAATAACAGCAAACAATGACAATTTGCTTTTTTCATGACAGCAATCAGCAACACAACTGACTAGGACTCCTACACCTGGAAAGAAAGTGAAACGTACAAAATGTATATGAAAACACAGCACAAGTCGCTAAAAGGCTTTAGAAAAAATATTTTTCTGGGGGGCTGAGATAAAAGATACGAAGGCTGAAGCTGCCCTAAAGAGACTCTAGAACCGAAAATGATGCTGAACACAAACCTCAGCTGATGGTAAGATATTACTGAGAAATTAGTGACAGAACTGGCAGTATATGCATGGTTTTTGTTCACATACACACACACACACACACACACAGAAGTTAATAATTATATCTTGGGGACTTTCCATTCAATTCTATGGGAAAAACCCTAATCTCAGCAATGACAAACACAACCCCTACCCAGCCCTAACCTTGACCATAAGTTACCAAGCAAAATACTATTTGAGGTTTTTTTTTTGAGTCACAGATTTTTATTAAATTGAGTTTTCCTTTAGGGGTAAAAAACTGGTATTCATCACGTTGTGGGGACATTGTGTCCTGATAAAGTAAGGTATACCTGCTCACATCAGGGTTCCCCCAGCTCTGGCAGAATACATTTCCATGACTTTTCCAAAACTTTTCCAGTACCACAAGAAAATTTTCCAAAACCCACAAGTTTGCTTTGATTTGATGATCATGCAGTTTCAGATAGTAATTGTCCTGCCCCGATCGTCCGCTCCTTCCGTGTGCCACGCCCCCTCGTTAACCTCGTGTGGAATCCCCGTGTGATCAGCTGTTTCTGGTTGTTGTCATTAGTCCTGTGTATTTAGTCCGCGTTTCAGTTTGTTTCCCCAGTCCAGTCATTGTAATGTCACTCCGTGTTTTCTTGCCTGCAGTTTTTTTTTTTATTATTATTTTAAATTTAAAAATAAATAAATAAATAAATTAATTAAAATTAAACCCCGTGTTTTCCGATTTCCTGACGGCCACTCCTCTGTCTCCGCTCCGCGTCCCGCATACGGCACGACAGTAATACTACAATTTTCGGTACGATAATAGCCAATCTGCTTACCAAATAAACACAGACGGTGGACAACTTTCGCCAATGTGCAAATAGCGTTTAATTAAGAAAATTAATCCCAATATTAAACTTATATGTATCTTATGATTGGTAGAGGCAAACGGAGTCAAAAACGGGAAACTTAACCCCTACCCTACCCTAACCATAAGTAACCAAACAAAATACAACAGTTTTTGCATTTTTAGTTTTTTCATAGCAGTCACCGATTTTTATAAAATAGAGTTTTCCCTTATGGAAAACGGATATATTTATCACGTTATGGGGACATTGTGTCCCCATAAGGATAGGTAAACCCGCTCACACACACACACCTACCTGATTTCCAGTTGCCTTTCACTACAATCCAACTCCTCCAGTAGCAGGGCCTCAATATCCCGCTGACTCAACCCACAGTTTCGGATCCTAGAAGCAAAGCATGCATCTGACTTTTTTCCTGCATGTTCATGTCTGCATGTTTTTGTCTGCACGTGTGTGTATACACATTTAAATGCTCACTCCAGTCTTCTCAGTGCATTCAGTGAACTCAGTGTTTTCTGCAGGGTTTCCATGGCTCCAGCTGGCAGGTCGTTACAGGACAGGCTGGATGGAGATACAGTACCACCATCATCACTATCACTTTCATCTCATTTCTGACCAAAATTGTCACCATAGTTACTGGCATCATACTTTCCAATACCATCATCATCAAGCATCACTCGCCTGTCTTTACACAACCAAAGACGTATTTACAGTGACGTCACAGCAATGTGCTCATTTCTCCTACATACTCACTCCAGCTCCACCAGCTGGCGGCAGGAGTGTAGAATTCCAGCCAGCATCTGGAGGTGGGTAACCTCAAATTTGCAATTTCTAAGGCTGGGAGGGGACAGAATCAAGCATTAAAAAACGCAAAGTGATCAACCAGATCAATGCTTTTAAACCTCCTATGATCTACCCTCCATCACATGCATGATAATAAAAGAACAAAACAGGGTCATTTGCCTACAGCCATACCTCAGGGATTTGTCACAACTGTGATCTGGAGCAAGATGAACAACAGCTCTGTCTTCCTCACCCAGACTGTTGATTAAAGGCCACGTCCACAGCATGCAACAAATAAGCAATTCAATTACAGGCCAGAACCACAGATCTTGCAGCCAGATCACACCCACTATACAAACAGACTATACTTCAATGCCACACAAAAATGCAGTAGAGATTAAGACCAAAAGTGAAACAAATGGCATGATTAATCTGAGTGTGACTGGACTGTGGATGGCTGCCTCACCTTACTTCAACTCTGTGCAAATGTGCACATGTGGTCATGCCGATCGCCAGGTACAAAGCTCCATCAAGGGTAATTTTATTATGGTTGAGACTACAGAGAGAATAAAAACATCCATAAAATCATAATAAAACTCAAAACTCAAGGGACACATCAAAAGACAAAGGCAACTAAGCACCATAAATACCTTGAAAAAAAATCATCTCACCTCACCAAGGTAGAAGCCCGATGTTCTCTGTCAAACTGTGCAAAGGGTTTTACACCATCGTCTCTCAGCTTATTATCAGACAAACTGAAACAGGAGAGACCACATACATCCAGAATGCCCACTAAATACATATTTTTGAAGTTGTGCAAAGAAATCATTCATACGTTCTTGATGGAATAGCTTTGATGTCGTATCATTAACATTAAAGCAGGAAAAAATGGGGTATTAAATGAAATATTAGCATTTTTACATGATACTATGATATATGTACAGACATATAATGTGTTCACATTATTTTTAATACTTCTAAAGGTTTGCCCCCCCCCCTCCCATATAGTTCTCGGGTTCTTCCCCTCATCCGCCCCACCAAAATTTCTTTGCATCCCACTACGGGGTGTGACCCACAGTTTAAACACCTCTGACCTACAGTCCATGCCAATTCTTCACAAGGCATAAACTTACATGTTATGGGCAATTGGTCACACAAGTAAACACAACAACACAAGGAGAATAGCCAAACTCCACACTTATGTACTCGGGGCTGGGTTTGAACCCCTAACTCTGGAAGTGTGAGGCAACACTGCACCACCATGCTATCCCATAATTAGTCACTTAACCTTAAAATGATAATTTTGTTAAATTAAATTATATTGTAAAAGCAATATATTTCAGGAATAAGGAACCATTGTATCAGTGACTGACCACCGACACTAAAAGGACTGCAAACAGGAGCCAGAAGTCTCACTTTAGCAGCTTCAGTGTAGTCATCTGAGGCAGGTGCGTCAGAACATTCAGTATGGACCTTTGCTCCAGGGAACCACCACTGAAGCTGTAATGGAAGCAAAAAACTTTTATTTTCTTTTATTTGTATTTACTCATTTGTTTGTTTGTTTATTTATTGTTTTTTTTTTTATAATGTACAGTGGTACCTCAGTTCTCGAACTTAATCCGTTCCGGACTCCGGATCGAATCTTAAAAAGTTTGAGTTCTGATTGAATTTTTCCCATAAGAAATAATGGAAAACCAATTAATTGGTTCCCGGCCCCCCAAAATTACACCTAAATATGTTTTTTTTTTTTTTTTAGCATTTAAACACAAAATGAACAGGATAAAACAAGAAAAGCATTTGTTTCTTAATGGCTTCCAAAATGATAAAGATCTTATCCCAACATTACCCCTGTCCTGCTCTAATCTTCCGCTCCTTCCGTGTGCCACGCCCCCTCGTTAACCTCGTGTGGGATCCCCATGTGATCAGCTGTTTCTGGTTGCTGTCATTAGTCCTCTGTATTAAGTCCACGTTTCAGTTTGCTTCCCCAGTCCGGTCATTGGGTGCATTCGACTTGCTTACAGCGCTGGCTTAAAGCAACGCATTCTGATCCTGAGGCAATGCATTACGGTTAGATGCATTGCGACCTCTCACCCGGCTGCACAAACTGGAACCGCCTCTGTGACGACACACCTTTGCCCTTATTGGCTGAAGAGTTTAGTTACACGCATGACATACTGTATGTATCCCAGGCAGTTCCGATGCGTAATCTGCTATTTCTCCCGAATATCAAAATAAATGCTCTAATAGTACTGTGAAAAGGTTACTTTTTTTTCCTTTTCACTGGATTCAATTGCCTTATTTATATGGTTTGTTTATTAAATATAATTGTTCTGTATTTTCTTTATCTAGGGGAGTTAGCTGTGTATATGGTGGTCGGTTGTGCTGCTGCTGTGAAGGCAGGGAAGTCAGCTGCTCATTAGGGAGAGTGAAGACAGGTTTGGGTGATTATTAGGTCCTCTTAGCAGGGGGAGTTTGGGCGCTGCTAATTTGAGTTATACTAGGTGGGGGGAGGAATATCAAAGATTACCAGTTAGTAATTATGTAGCCCTTATGAGAATGCAGCCAAATGCAGAGGCATGGTGGGAGGTCAAACATAGCTGCCATGGCTTGTTTGGTTTGTTATGAGTTAATTTTGTGTTTTATCTTTGCGCAGCTCACTCCATGCACACCTGAACAGGTGGTAGGTTCCAGGTAGGTGAGGTGGTAAAGGTGAAGGCCAGGAGAGAGAAAGGGGGGGGGGCAGCTTGCTGTGAGGTTGTGGTTTTAAACCTGTGTTTGGTTTTCTTTAATGTAGATGGTTTTCCTGGTGGATGTTTTTTTTTTTTTTGCGCCATCATTTCATTATTATTTTGTTAATAAACTTTACAACTTTTCTGCACCTACTCCTGCTAATTGCCAATTGGACTGTTTTTTTTTCCCCAACATCCCTTTTTATCAGTTTTTGGGCCAAAACCACCCCATTCCCCTTTATTTCCCTTCCTTTTATGGAGGGCCGGCGGACAAGTACACATAAGTTAGTGGTTTATTTATTGTTAGTTACTGTAATGTTGCGCTGCTTTATTTGGTTAATCGTCCAGTCTGTGAAGAAGGCATTCAAGTAAGAATTGCACTGTAGTATGACTCATTTCCTGGCGTGTACAATTTGTATTAGGTCAGCGTTCACGGTTCGACTTCTGATATTCAGATCGAGTTCTAGGTCAAACTGGTTTGTTCGACTTTCAAGAAATCCGAGTTCTGGTGAGTTCGAGAACCGAGGTACCACTGTATATAGATATATACATATGTCGGTGCGTGTGTATAGTAAGTGTTCTTTAGACTACTAGTAGCTAGTAGCTTGAGGTTGATGTGTTGCAGACCACTGTACTTGTGCCACCTCCGTGTGCTAATACGGTTAGCTAGTTACCTGTCCATGCAGAGTGAAGCATGTTACTCATCCCACTTTAACGAAATACAATTTTACTAAGTTCTTTGCTGTGTAACAAATTAATCCTAACATTTTCACAGAAATGGAGACCTGTATGCCACCTAAATCTTCACAAACACATTTTTCAAATCAGAAAAATATTTAAGAATAAAAAGAATATTTAAAAAGCTGTTTAAACAACATCAAACCCTTGACTTCCCACGTTTGAGTAACAGCGTTTTTGAGGCTGCTGATTGGTTCACAGTGGCTGTTATACTCACTCTAGCTGCACTAAGCTTGAGCATGCTGACAGTCTCCTGCAGAGTTCATCCATGTTGTTAGGAAGGATACAAGAGCACCGAAGACTGTAGCATAGAGAAACATTCTTTGAGTTAAAGAAATGCTACAGTATGAAGGACAGGTGTGATCAAGATTGACTTTTTCTTTGATTGGGTGCAATGACTGCTTTACCTGAATTTCTTGTATAGGAGGAACCCATTTTCAGGTTTTTGGGTGGAATGCATTACGTTCCTTAGGGGTTTGCTGGAAAGATATTGACATATAATGAGACCAGTGGAAATGATAATAATTGATACTTTTACTGATCCCTATGGGGAAATTGTCCTTATGCCTCCCTCAACTTGCTCTTTGCAGACTACGCTGTCTGTGAAGGGCAGCCACCTGTTGGGGTGCCCAGAGAACTGGGGGTTAAGGGCCTTGCTCAAGTGCCCGCAGATGTGCTGAGGCTGGGTTTAAACTGGTGACTTTCTGATTACAGGCACACAGGCTTAGTCCACTGAGCCACATGCTGCCTCCACATGCTATTCCTCTAGAAATTCACATGCAATTGAGCTGACAAAGGCCAATACCTTTTATTGACTCCAAACTTCATGATGAGTCTCTGCTTCTCTTCGTGGCTATTTGGAAGAAATGCATTTAAATATGCATTAAACACACCTTGAAAGAGGGAGTGAGAAGTCCAGCTCTAACCAATGGGAAAGCATAGTGCTAAACTGTTGCTGTCCAATGAAAAACATTTATCTCCAAAAATCCACATAAAAAAAATTCTCAGAAACTAAATCAACATAAAAGAACAGAATGAGAGACCCTTAGCATCACAAATAGAAACTTATATTTACACAACCTTCAGTGATCAGTCGTTCACAAAGAAAGATTGGCTTAAAATGGACTTAAGTGGATTGTTGTCAGCTAGGCAAATATGTCAGTCAACCAATTACCAACTAATCTTGCTTTATATTAAAAACACAATTAATAATGATGTTAGTTAGCTAGCTAGCTAACTATCAGTGTTGTTAAAATTTGTTATTTATTGTAATGCATACAAATGACTATCATGAATAATGATGTTAACTAGTACAAACATAAACACTAGTTAAATAGATGACATAATTGCACTGGTAAATTAGTAGAGAGAAGACAATCGGCATATTGCATCTTTAGTAAAAAGTCAAAAATTGTCAAAAAGTGGATATCATGGTTTTCATTGGACAGCAGCAAAACAGAACCTAACCCTTTACTGTGGTGCCCAGCTTATTGGCAAAAAGGGAAAAGAGTTCAACTGCCCTCACCATCTAGAAGTCTTGTGTTGATGAATGTTTCTAGGTGCAAAAAAGGCAAAAACCATTGAGTTTGTTATCAATTCTGCAGGGGTTGGAAGTTCCCAATAAAGACGGGTCCCATCCTTGCTATGAACTTACGTGATGTCCACAGCTCTCATGCTCCTGAGGCTCCTGAAGGCTTCAGCCACCGCAAGGACCCCCGGCATGGTGACACCATTCTCACTGACACTAAAAACAGAGGTTATTGAAAAGAGGTGAGATTCCCTTAGCAGAAACCCAGTGTCCATGCAATACTAAGATCACAAGATTAAGTATAGTTTCCTTGCTATTTTCCCTCTACCAGCATCTGCACTAAGAATGCTGAAACTCTTACTTTATTTCCTGGACAGCTGTGAGATGGGGTAAGAGATCCATAAGCTTCTTCAAGCCCTGATTCCCCAGAGCATTACTGGACAGGCTGTGAAACAGAAGTAAAAACACACACATACATAAATACACACACAGCTCAAGAAAAAAGTAGTATCACCTATTAAAGGGGTGGTTCACATCAACACTGGAAAAAAAGATATGTTTTGGAGGGGCTTTAGTGCTGTCTATCCATCAAGGTTGTTCTGCTCGGAGTTGCCTAGTTTTGGATATATCTACCGTAGAAAAATTGGTCTTCTCTCAAATATAATGTCTCTTACCAGAGATTATGACCCGGTTACTCAAGATAATCCATAGACTTTGTTGTGAGCAGTTTAATGTAGGAATTATTTCCTTCAACCCAACACCATACACCAATCGTATCACTGCGCACCATGGAAAGAATGGCATTCAGTTTCATGATATATGAGAGAACAGAGATATTTTTACGCTTGATATCTACCAACAGAACCACCTAGATGGATAGATAGCACTAAAGCCCCTCTAACACATCTCTTTTTTGAGTTTGAGAACATTGCCATTTTGGGCTTTCTGGGATTCCTCATCACCAAGGACTAATAGGACAATTGAACCCGAGTCCCCACTGCATGTATATATATACTCACTCCAGAAAGGTCAGGCCCTGACAGCATCTCAGGGTCTCATACAATTTATCTACATGGGAAGAACGTAGATCACACTCTGACAGCCTGGGGAGAGTCAAGATCAAAACTCATTATCACCACCATCATCACCATCCTCATCACCGCCCCAAACAATATCATTCTCACTGCTGCCATCATTACCGTTAACTACCACCATTTTTTTTTTATCATCCCCAGCACTTTCATCATCACCGCCCTCTTCAGTAAATCAAAATCCAAAGTATAAATACCTAAGTCTCTTGGACTGTACTAAATCTTGCTTTGGTGTCTTCTCACTGCGACAGAGACAGAGAATGCGAAAACGTTGATCAAGCTGACCACCTTGGTAGTGAAAATCAGTCACTACCACTCTTGACAAATAATAAGAAACAAACAGCTATTAATGCCAAGAAAAGCATTTTCTTACCCCAAAGTCTGGTTTTGTGTTTCTGTGCTAAATATAACTGACACCTTGGTGGGATCTTGACGCCTGCAAGAGAAGAACAACTCGTGTACAATTAGTCCGGTAGCTCTAAATACCCCTAGATGTCGCAGTTAGCAGTATATAAATACCCCATGATGTGTCAAGTAACAGTATCAAGAACACCAAGGGTTCCCCCTAGTTTAGCTACTGTGTTGTCACAAGGTTTATAAATGCATGTGGCATTCTAAACCAAATAAATCTATCTATCATGTACCTGTATTGTATTGTGAATTGTAATGAATAAAACAAACATTTGTACCCCATGGTAACATACCTGATGTTCACCTCGGCCACAGCAGGATAGTTAGTCACTGAACGGCTCAAAATTGACAGCCCGTTCATTGTCAGAAAGGTGGAATTCATACTGTTGAGAGAGGAATGACATCAGAACACATGAAGTGACATCAAATAGCCAGTGAAGCATAAATTAAGCCATACCTATAATAATAATTGATACTTTATTGATCCCTGTGGGGAAATTGTCTTTATGCCTCCCTCAACTTGCTCTTTTTTGTAAAGCAAGTTGTCCATGAAGGGCAGCCACCCGTAGCAGCGCCCAGGGAGCTGGGGGTTAAGGACCTTGTTCAAGGACTCACAGACATGCTGAGGCCAGGTTTGAACCAGCGACCTGATTACAGGCACCCAGGCTTAGCCCACCAGTGATGCGCGGGTCAATGTATAAACAACCCGAACCCGACCGACGTTTTCAATAACCCGCCCGCAACTCGGACCGCAAAA